TATCTTCTCTCCACTCTCTCATACACAAAACACACACGCACGCACACACACACAAACGGGACGTGGCGAGCGTCATAGAAAAATATCACTACTTAAAATCATTAAAAATGCTCGGACGAACTACATTTTTTGGTTCCGCCTGGTCTAGCCTTCACAGCTAATATAACCATGCCATGACATATATATAGCAAACCATATACATCCCCCCTGTATTCCATCGGCAAGAAGTTCAACTCATTGTCTAGCTTCTTCTCGCGAACCACTGCCCTGCTGAAGAGATTCTCAAGAAGATGTTTCCCAGATCATATAAAAATAACTTAACCTGAAAATATGAATGTATAACAGCTATCCTAAAATCCTACCCATATAAACTACACCGTAACATAATCGTCTAATCCTAAATGACCGCCAGGCCTTTATCAAGTGAACCTTATGGTGGAAAAAAAAAATAGCATATAACCATTTAGAAACATCTAACCATAATTTACCTCACAGCTCATGCTATCCTCTATCTTTACAAGAATGAAATGAAAACGGATACTGTTGCGATATATGGGCGGAAACAGTCTAATTTTTATTTTTTCACTCTTGATAGAGACCAAAATTATATATAAATATTGTGGGTGATGAATTATTTTCCAATATACACCCCTTTTATCACAGAAGAAAACGTCGCAAGCGGCTCACTATCTATCGCTATTTCCATGGTGAGGGTTCACACAGTTACACTTTTTAGTTCTATTTTCCTGTCCTCAACGTTTAAAGATCTGTCATGCCACGCCCATTAATAGCGAATAATGATCATTCCATTCCCATTCACCTATTGAGACGTAAGATCGTCTCGACCATTCCTTCCCACGAATTTTGCCGTGTGGAACTGACTCCCAAGAGGCTGCTTCCCTGAGCAACATAATCTTAACTTGATATACTCGAGATATAATCTATTTATACATCATATCTGCATAAGCTATACCTTTTTACTATTTATGTATTTTCTATCTTTTGACCCTTTGGGCCTTATACTGTAAAACAAAAGATTACAGAATGAAAAAAAAGTATTAATTCGAAATAACAAAAAATACATGACTTGAGGACTATCAACAGCAACTTAAAAGTTTTGGATAGCACATGGAACTCAAAAAAAGGAAATAATGTTAAATAATTAAAATTTTGATGTCCCAAATTAGAAGAAGAACTAATTTATCTATATATGGAAAATAGTGATGATAATAAATGTAAAAACCCTGTTATCCTGAACAAATTATTTTGATTGAAAGAATTTTCTAAATTCCAAAATATAAGTAGTGGCTACTCTTTTAATGAATCACGAATGTTCTTTTATATTCTCCTTACTTTAATGCTATTACAATTACGAATTTTGTTCAGTCAATATGAATTTTTCATGTTATTGAATTTTTATTTTATCTTAGCGTTTAATTTGAAATCTCATTTCAACCTGCGCCAAGTTTTTAAATTTATTTTTTAAATTATATATTGAAGGTTCTCCTCTCAATTCTATTACTTTTTAAACACTTAATGCCCCCATAAACAACATTAGATAAATATCAATCTGTCAACAAGCTGTCAAACCCAGGAACGTATTAAATAAACAGCTACTCTATGGTTAAAAAATAATTTTATGATATATTAAAGTTAAACTAAGTTATAGTTGTTTTAAAACAGATTAATTATACTTTAATATATGTTAATATTTCTCAAATAAAGTTTCAGAAAATATATTTTATTTTTGGAAAATTTTTAATAAATTTAAATTGCATTGTGATAAAAGGACGATAATCAGTTATTTTAGCAAAAGAAAAAAAAAATGGAAATTGTTTAAAATTTTTTTTGAAATAGAGCAAATTATTTTGCTCATTGGAAATATTAAATTTAATTTATTAATTTGAAATTCAAATTAAAATAAATTTCTAGAAATATTTTTATTTTCAATAATTTTTATTAAACCATAAATATTGCAGTTTTTTTATATATATATATATATATATATATATATATATATATATAATATAATAATGGACTCTCCCGTCGGTTTTGACGTATGAGGATCTGACAGCTTATTGATTCAGTTATGAATGTTTTTGCGATAATCTTAAGTGGCATTTAAGACCTGCTAGTGATTTACAAAGGAGGCCACATATGAAGCAAGTGTGAGGATTGTGAGATGAGATAACTGTTAGATTGGCTGACCTTTTAGATCTTGCTCTCGCTTCTTGAAAATGATTCAGACAAGCAGATTGAAAATTGCTGAGTCCACTAAAACACGTTGATCTCCATTCTACCCGCTCCAAGGCTAAGCGCTCAAGGGTGTTATGTGGTATATTAACTGCTGACAAGTTGCTTTTCAGCTTGTCTTTGTATCTTAGCCTGATGGGCGTCCTACATTCCTGTATATATATATACCCATATATATATATATATATATATATATATATATAATATATATATATAAAATAAGATGATCAATTTTCCTTTAAAGGCATTTAATACGATGTAAATGAATTAATGATCAATTTGACATGACTGACGAGACAATTTTTTTATGGAAAGAATTTTAAATAGATATCTGTATGGAGTCTGTTTTGCTAAAAGCCAAAAATAAGATGATTTATATTCCTAAAGGCCATGTAAAAATGATAATGAATTTAAATTGAAGATTCTTTTATATTAAATTAAATTTTCAATTTTTCTGTTTGTATCAGTGTTTACTTTTCCGGGCATTTAATTGATCAATAGACTCTTTAGATGTGTACCTGAGCTTTGATGTGAAGGTCGATAAAAACGAAAATACTTTTAATACACCCTAATATCTTTACAGTGAAGCAATCCTGGGAAAATTAGAAGTCCTATCAGGATTCATTCACGGGCACAATCTTAACAATATAAGATACTTTTTTTTTTTTTACAACACGCTAACGCCTGCTGAAATCCTCTTAATATTTATTATTGTTGGTTAAATTGTTTTTGAAATCGCGGGAGAATTTTCCATGCAACGTACAACTGGCCATGCGTAAATATTTTTCCTCCATTTTGAGAGCGAAGAATAAATTCTTAAGATTTCTTACGTTTGAGCATGCAACACACAACTGGCCATGCGTAAATATTTCTTACTGGAGTCAAATTCCAAATTTTGAAAGGTTTGGAAAGATTTGCAAAAAACAATATTTTAATTTTTACTAAAGAAGTAATTGTTATTTTAATCATTAAATCGTTTTTAAAATAGTGGTAATATTTTGTGTGTTAAATAATAAAACTTAATTTTTCCAAAAAAAGAAACAAAATTTATTGTACTAAACTACACACCCAAGTAAAATCAACTGTACTGTTTGCTCTTCTCCCCAAAATTTGGTTTCAATATATGGTTATTTTAGAGGGTGTAGCGGACGGACAGGCGGACGGACTAACAGAAGTCACAGAATTATATATATATAGATGCAGATGGCACTGTGTTGATAGCAAATAAAGAGAGGAAACTACAGGAATTCCTACAGAGGGTAGTAAAAGAAAGGTAGAAAAAAGGAATAAACGTCAATTGTAAGAAGACAGAATGTATAGCTGTCAGCAAAATGGACAGACCAACATGCGAGTTAGAAATTGGGGATGTCATCATCAAGCAAGTGCAACATCTGGGAAATATTTTAACAGGGACGGAAAATGCGAGACCGAAATCTGATGGAGCATTAGGATAGCGAAAGATGCCTTGAAAAAGCTAAGCAAAATATTAAGAAACAGGAAAATTTCGTTAGAAACAAAAGAAAAGAGTACTGAACTGTTACGTAATAATAGTCCTTCTATATGGCAGTGAATCCTGGACAATCTCCTCACAGATGAAAAAGAGACTTGAAACAACAGAAAGAAAGAAAAGAGTATTTGAACTGTTACGTAATATCATCCTCAAATCATTGTATGAATGTTGGACAATATTGTCACAGATGAAGAAGAACTTGAAACAATAGAAAAAAGAAAAGATTTACTGAACTGTTACGTAATATCAGTTCCTCCTATATGGCAGTGAATGCTGGACAATCTCACAGATGAAGAAGAGACTTGAAACAACAGAACAAAAGAAAAGAGTACTGAACTGTGCACGTAAAAATCAGTCCTCCTATACACAGTCAGTATTGAACAAGATGAAAGGATAAATTGAATTTGGTATTTAATTAAACAGAAGGATTTAATGAATCCCATGGAGCAGATTTGATTGCAAAACATAAGGTTTTAAAGACAATGGAAGTAAAGGACAATTAGAAAAATATAATTGAATGGTTAAAAGGATTGATAAAGAATATTTGGACACCAATTGGACGTTAAAAAAGGTTTTAATAAGAAAACAACTTTACCTGGTGAGCTTATATAAATAGATGGCAGAATATAGGATAAGAAATTGTGGAGAGAAATGATTGATATAATGATATTTGAAATTTTTGGTTTTTCTGCATGCCATTTTATAATTAAAACTGGCTTTAACATCCTTGTTTTTGATATTTGATAACTGTTTACATTTTACTATATTAAAAAAATCTAATAAGAGTTTGAGTAATTCATCTAGAATATTTTTTCTTCTTCTTCTTCTTCTTCTTCTTCTTCTTCTTCTTCTTCTTCTTCTATGTGCCTTTTCCATTCAGGACGTGAGCGATCATATCTTCTTTCTCTTCTTCTAATTCTTCTCTGTGCCTTGTCCATTCAAATCGTGAGGATGGAAGCCTTCATCTTTTTATTTCTTCTTTTCTTGTGTGCCATTGTCCATTCAGGTTTTGAATGATCATATTTAACATTTTCTTATTTCTTGAATTTTTATTTCTCCTATGTGCCTATCCCTTCAGGACGTTTGATCCTGTCTTCTTCTTCTTTTCTTTCTTCTTCTTCTTCTTTATATAGGATATATGTGCCTTGTCCATTCAGGACGTGAGCGATCATATCTTCTTCTTTCTCTTCTTCTTCTTTTTAGATCCTATGTTTTTCTCCCTTCAGGACGTGAAATGATGTTCTTTTTTCTTCTTCTTCTTCTTCTTCTTCTTCTTCTTCTTCTTCTTCTATGTGCCTTGTCCATTCAGGACGTGAGCGATCGTATCTTCTTCTTTCTCTTCTTCTTCTTCTTCTATGTGCCTTGTCCCTTCCGGACGTGAGTGATCCTGTCTTCTTCTTCTTCTTCTTTCTCTTTGTGATTTTAAGTATAAGTGTCCTTTTTGCTTCCATTTCTTTTAAGTCAAAGAGAACATAAGTAATATTTTAATTTAAAATTATAGTATCGTATGCAAATTAGAGAGACAAGTAAAAATAGAGAACAACTGGCGAACATAGTGAACAGCTATATCTAGCAAACCCGGTTGCTATTGAGGACACAGAGAGCTGTACTGCGACTTCAACTACGCAGAGAGATAGCAAAACATAATTACCCTTTTGGCTTACCTAAAACATTCAAAAGCGATATTTTTAAATAAAATTAGTTGAAACTAAACTCTCCTAATACCATCAAGTTATAATCCCATACTGACTCTTTTAACAAACGTAATAAATTCAAAAGCGATATTTATTTAATAAAGTTGGCTAAAATTAAAAGCTGCTAATGCCATTTAATGACAAAATTTAATTAATACTTTTGTCAACAATACACTCGAAAACGATCTTGTTTAATTAAGTTAATTAAAACTAAACTCCCCTAATGCCATCTACCAATAATAACGAGCTAAATGTTTGGCTAAGTCACTATATTTATTTGTACTCTTTCCTTGACTTGTCTCTTTCTTTCAAACCTACAATAGAATTTGGCCACGCTTGAAATAATTATCCGGAGCCTCAGCTTCTTATGCTGGGTTTAATGAACATTGTTCGCCTGCTGTGATCCTGCTGCTTCTAATCATACGGACGAATTATTTTTAAGTATTTTCCTCGAGTGACGATCGCCGTTCTTAAAGAGGAAGGTAAAAAAAAGTTCTAACTATTTGATTTAAAATATAGCGCATTTAGATAATTTTAAGATATTAACAAATTGACAGTTTTTTTCACGATTTTTAACATTACTGGCACTTTCTGACCTTAGACGCTGAGCGAGAGCCGACGACACGCTTTGACAAAAAAATTATGCCTGGCATAAAAAAATTTTGCGTTAATTCAACGCGTGTCTCTGTTTTTAAAATTTATTTGGACTCGCGTTTAGACGGACTCTATTCAAAATAGTGTTTAAGCTTCAAATATGAATTTAGAACCGTCAAACGTTTTTTCCTACGTGCATATGGACTGGTATTTTAGCAGCTTCCACTTTCGAATTTATAACAACTACCCATGAGCCCACCTCTTCTTCTACCCGCCAGCTATGGGTTAAATATCAGGATAGGGTGTGGAACAAATTCCCGATCACTACAAACATAACCTCTTCAAGTTTCAGGTCAATAGTTATCTACTTTCAATAACCTCATTCATAAATTTCTATCTTTAGCGGTTCTTGGGCCGCGTATTGGATGAACGCCCAGTTCACACTCCTCCCTGGTTTTTGGAAAGAAGTAGATATCTTGTAAATATTTTTAGGAAGGTTTAAGTTTATTTAAAGTCTACTAAACAACGTCTGAATTATTAATCTATTAAATGTTATTTTTCCTCAATTGGATTAGATAGGTTTGCCTATCATTTAGTTCACACTCCTGCCCGGTCTTTTGAACATGAGTAGAGGTTTATCTCTTGTTTCTTGTTTAGCATTTGGTTTACGGTTCCTTTAACTATATCCTTCTAACGTCATCACCAAAACTATTAAATGTTATTTTTCCTCAATTGGAGTAGATAGGTTCGTCGATCGTTTATTTCACACTCCTCCCCTGTTTTTTGAACAGGAGTAGAGGTTCATCCCTTGTTTCCTGTTTAGGATTGGTTTTACAGTTCCTTCTAAAGTCTACTTCAACTCTATACTCCTAACGCCTCCGCCTAAACTCTGTTACTATTTATTTTTCCTCAAGGATTAGATTTTTCATTTTATCGCCTGGTTCACACTCTTCCCTAGAAATTTTGAATAGAATTAAAATTTATTATAAACATTTCGGCCCTTCAGCATCTTTAAGAAATTTTCTATATTTCTGAGATGAGGTATTATGTGCACTATTTACATTATTCGGACTATTGTTCATTTTTGTCGCCATATATTTATTACAACGTTCCGGCCCTTCAGTATCTGGTCTATAGGTTATTGAGATGAGGTATTATGTACATTATTTACATTATTCGGACTATTGTTCTCATCTTTGTCGCCATATTTATTACAACGTTTCGGCCCTTCAGTATCTGTCTATATTTCTGAGATGAGGTATTATGTACACTATTTACATTATTCGGACTATTGTCCTTATCTTTGTTCCCATAATTAAATCATGTCTTAGTTTTACTGCATTTTTTATTTTACAATTTCTGTAACTGGTGGTCATATTTGACAAAAATGATTTACATTCACCGTGGATTTGTCTTTATAACCAAAAAATGAAATTCTTGGAATTTCATAAAATCAAATAAGTGGGTGTAACTAATATAAAAATATTACTAAGATTTTCTTAAAAAAAAAAAATCGTGACAAAAACTCAAATATACAACAACTAAAATATCAGGATCATATTATCCAAGGAATTGATTTTTTAATGTCTCATTAAATCTTGTTATTGAAGTGGTTTTGCCATTAATCTCAATTTATATATATATATATATATATATATATATATATATATATATATATATATATATATTATAAATTAATTGATTTAAAAATAATGAACACGCAGATACCTCATTTGTCTAGTGAAAGTGGATTTATGAGTAATTGTTGGAAACATGAATTATGAAAAATTCTTTAAAACCCAGTAATTTTTAAAAGTTACTCAAAATTCGCTTGAGGATGAAATGGAACTAATGTCTTTAATTTAATTACAAAATTAAATTCAGGGCTTTTCTTATTCTATTTTTGAAACAATGGTTAGAATTTGTGTAAAAAAAAAACATTTTAAATCAATTAATTTATCATATTAATAACCTGTAAATTTACATTGAGCACTAAACAAAAAAAAAAAATAGCTATAAGGACACCGAATTATATATCTTACATAAAATTTTTTTTTTTTTTATATATATATATATATATATATATATATATATATATATATATATATATATATATATATATATATATGTGTGTGTGTGTGTGTGTGTGTGTTATTACAAAATATGATGTATATATGTATAAGGGTGTGTATATGTGCATGCATGTGCATATGTGTATAGGCATATATATATGTGTATGTGTATACATCTGTATATGTCTATATATGTGGATACATATGAAAATATGCATGTATATATATATATATATATATATATTAGCAGCATGGCCCGGCGTTGCCCGTGCTTGATTCAAAAATCGTACGATTCATACAGCAATCGCTATGACTTGACTTAAAATATTTTTGCCCTTACTTGCTTTTAAAGTAGTGACCTTTGCCGTGCTGATGTTGCTACATGCCTTACTTTTTGCCTATCTCACTCTGCGAATTTTTTATAAGCTCTATACTAAACATTAAATCTGTTACGAAAAAGAACTAAACAAAATGAACACAAAATGATCAGCTTTAAAAAGGACTCGTAACTGGAAAAACCGAATGAAAAAGAATGTTAACAACAAATACTTTTTTCACACCCAACCCAGTTCTGCGGAATCAGAATCAACGTTGAGTTTAAGCAAGCGAATGAGCCAATTGGAGTAAAGTGACATGCATATTTAAATTTTTCCCGCTTGTGACGAATGCAGCTATCGAATTTTTTTGCATGCTAGCATGCTAGTTAACATTCGTGTCAGTCAGCTGTTGGCTCTCACGCTGATCAATAGAATCTTCCTGCCTATTCGTGGCAGCCAGTTATAGGCTCTCACTCTGGCCAGTAGAAAATGGCCGCAAACTACAAGAAAACTGTCGTAGAAGCATGAAAAAATCGATTATTTCCACTATCGATGGGAGTTGGGAAATGCAAAGTCGGTCTTATTTTCCTGCTAACTTAGAGAACGTGCATGTAAATTTTGGTGCAAATCCGTCGAAAATTGCACTGCACAAACATTAACACACACACACACACACACACACACATCCTGCCTTTTATAGATATAGATGTGTGTGTGTGTGTAGAAAAAGGAAAAATGCATATATATGTATTCGATACATGTATAAATGGTAGTATATGTATTTTTATATGTATACGTGTATGTATATATTTACGGAAATATGTATGTGGTGTGTATGAATATATGCATAAGATATGGTTGCATGCATATATATATATGTATATATGCGTGTAAATTTGTGTATATATATAGATTAAATGTAAAGAAAATAATTTGTTTATTATCTTCTAATCTTACTTCACTTTAAAATAGTTTTTAATTAGATTTGAAGAATTAGAAATATTAATCATCTAGAAATAGTTTAAATTAAATAGATCACTTAGATTTAATTAAGAAATCATTATTCACATTAAAAATATTAAAATTAGTAAATATTTTTCTTTTCATTTTTTTGGTTTTGGGGGGAATTTAAACACTTAAATCACTATTTAACGTCAACTAAAAAATTTAAAAGAAAATTTAAATATATATATATATGGAAATAAAAATAAATATATATATATATTATATATCTAAATGTAGGTATATATATATATATAAATATGTATATGTATATGTATATGTATGTGTATGTGTATGTATAAGTATGTATGTATGTATGAATGTATGCATGGGGGCAGATGTATGTGTGTATATGTATGTGAAAAGTGTGTGTATATGAATATAGATGAATATGTGTATGTGTGGATATGTGAATATATTTTTAGGTTTTATATATATATATATATATATATGTTTTGTATATATATATATATATATATATATATATATATATATATATATATATATATATATATATATATATATATATATGTATATGTGTATGTATGTGTATGTGCATGTGTATGTACACGTATGTTGGGAGTGTGTGTGTGTGTACATGCCTAAGTGTAATTTACTTATTTGTATATGTTT